TTAAGGATTTATTAAAGAAGTCAAAATATACAACCAACAAACTGACATCCAACTGGTCAGTCAAAAGGCAAAATTATCTTGCATATAAACAAAATAAAAAGATATATCTTTTTACACATTTCTCTATATCATGTTATTAATGAAGAAAGTAAAGAACAAAATGTATGAACCGGTATGAAGAACACTATTTTAAATGACAGCCACTTCATATTTTACCCTAGCACAGCCATAGTTTCCTCATCCTCTGAGGTGTCACAGAAACTCTACATTTTTTAATTCATGATGTATCCACCACTTCTTGGTTTATGGAGGAATCCAAAAATAATTCAATGAAGTTTTGTTGATATTTCCACTTCTACAGCACCATTTGTAAAAATACTCTAAACATCTCTCATATCCTGTATCAACAAATAAAAGAAACTGCACTGGCATTTAACAAATTACCAATGTTAAGGATAAATATTAAAAGATTACATCATGAAATTCCCAATATGGGTTACAAGTAAAAAAAAAATCATAATAATAAAAAATGCTATAAAGACTGGTGACAATGCTTAGTACATACTGTGATTGTGTTGACCTCCTGTGTATGTTACCCCTACACCACCTTGGAGAACATGTGGTTGGCCAGTAGGTCCAGGCGCTGCCTGTGCTACAGAATGTGTTGGTAAGATAGAACCTGGGTTAAACTGTTGCATATTATGTTGAGTGGGGAAATTGCCCGTTTGAGCATTCCCAGTCTGAACTCCACCTCCTGACGATACTGGCAAAGATATCAGATTTGACATGTGACCAAGTGAGAGATAATAGGAGGGCATATGGCCACCCATTGAATGCAAATTAAGGGGAAGTGGTTGTGGCTGCTCTCCACCCTGGCCACCACCTCCACCACCACCAGTCTGGAGATTTAGAGGTTGTTGCTGAGGTTGTTGGGCCACAGCAGGATTAAATGCTGCACCAGCATGAGCATTGTTGCCAAGATGCTGAAGACCCAAGACACTCAGCTGAAGGTTTGGTGGTAAAGGTGGAGGTTGTTGTCCTCCCATGTATCCACTCATTTGTGTTGTAGGTGCTGCTGAAACTGCAACGCCTATGGATGATGTAGAGGCTTCATTAGGTGTGTTAATACGAGCACCCTGGTTCTCCTGTGGTCTAGGTCGTGGTCTGGACTGTTTGGTAGTCTTTTTCTTGGTGGACTGCAGAGCACCAGATGCTTCTAAACTCTTCCGGAGATCAGACAACTTTCGTTTCACAGTGTTGAAATCCATCGACTTAAACTCTTCATGGAATACTTTAAAATACAACCACGATTTAACCTTGGCATCATAATCCTTAATTACCTTATCTGTAATTCAGAAAGAATAGCTAATTAGTATAATTGTGTGGTAGAGAAGAAAAGGAAATATATTTGAAGCCAGCCAAGAAACCCCTAGCCTTGGGGAGTGTCACTTTACTGTGGAACCCAGGTTTTAACCATAATTTATAATCTATACAAACTTTAAAATAGCCATCTATCACATTTCTTCAGTCACTTTAAAGAAAAATATAAATATGTAGACATCATTGTATTTAAAAGATTGACATCATTGCAATTATGCTAAACCCATTGGATCCTTGTTGCCCATATATGGCTTTCTTCAGTAGCAACTCTCCCACATGTGTGGCTTGTAGACCATGCCAACAAGACACTCATGTGGAGCGTTAAAACTTCTTGCCAATTTGTTAATGTTTTACAAGGAATCCACTTCCATACACACAGGTGTAATTTCTTTCTTTAGAGTTAGCTACCTAAACAATGCTGTGTGCAATGTGCATGCAACTGAATGCAAACACATCATGAAAAAAATTGGCTTGAGGTGAGGGTGACATGAATATACAGTCATGGAAAAATTTAGCTGAGGGCCAGGGAACTTGCTGTCATGAGAATTTTGGCTGAAGACCAGGGTTATGAAAATGACTCACCACGGATGATCATGACTAGACTTGGTGTAAACAAGTGTGGAATGTAACATTCATGAGCTATGACTGGGAGAGCACTGGCTTTAGGGAGGACACTTTTTCCATGCTAAGGATCCTATTCCTGCCTGCTGTGACCGATGGTGCAAGTTTTATTATCTTCTATAAATTAACAAATAACAAAATGTTACTTCTTGTTATTATTATTCCACTGCATTATGGACAACCTACGGAGATGATATGTATTCTGTGTAAGAAAAACAGTGTATTACTATCTGAATACAGCATATAAAATGACAAATATAGAAATTGATAATTGGTAAAAAAGCAAAAAATGCCTATGCTGAAAAAGAGATATCATTGCTAGGAGTCTTGAACGCATGAATGTCTGTATACACCCACCCTACAAGCCACACACCCTTGAGAGTAGCTAAGTAAGCCAAATGCCTAGATTTTGGTCCACATGCAGTCAATGAAGCACCCAGATCCAAGGGTTAAATGAATGTAAGTAACTCAACTGCTATTATATAACAGGATGCATAAAGTAGGGGTCCTAAAAGAGATGGGGGTTCATCTGTCTATTTGTAAGGCAACTTTATGGTTACATGGACAGATGTCACATTTTTTTAGCCAGAGATCATGTATACCTAATACAAAGTATGCAGCCCTAGAAGCAAACATCTAATACTGCCCTCCTCAAAACAAGTATTGTAAGTTTCCTTAAATACTGTCAACATCAGTTATCCAAAAGGCACATTAAACTTTTTATCCTTCAGTTCAAAATATTTTATGCTTATTGATTTCTTAATGCTGTTATAACCTGTACAGTTGCACTTACCACTCTCAGGATCTATTGCTTCTGGCTCATACTGCTGCAGGAAATTCTTATGAAGTTTAGAAATGTTGACATCTGGCCCTTGGTTCTTATCGGTCTTAATGAAATCACTGCCATTTGGCCCAGAAAGCATTTTCAGGATATGGTGTTTGATGAGTGTCACCAACTCTGGTGTGACCTGTTAAATGAATAATTTTTTATTTAATTATATATATATATATAATTCAAAACAAGACAATAGTCAAAATACATTCATGAAAAATATAAACTTTGGGAAAATGTTTGATAACTGCATAAAAGCTAAACAAAGCTTAACAGGAAGTACAGCAGCTCTTACACTGTCACTTACAAAATGAAGTCATCCCTTGCCATAAGATCAGGTTAAGTTTCTCAAAAATAGATTGTATGGTGAGAGCTTTACAACACAGATGAAGATGTTTATAACTGCTCAACAATAATTAAATATTTATCATAAAAGAGTCACAGATGAACTCAAGGCCACTTATTTGCAATAGTTATTTATACAAAACAAAAGAGAATTATCTTTAAAAAAAGGAAAATGGACTGGAAGAGAAGCAAACAAATGACAGTTCACTTCACTCTCTTACAACACATTTCCTTTGCCTTTTCCCCTGGGCAATAGCCATTTTCACAACACTTGGAGGTCATTACTAATACAGTACCAGTCTCACATGAAGCTACACAGATCAAACACAAATATTTCACAGCTATAAAGAATGTATGAACATGTTCATCTGCAAACAAAGTCTGAGGGTAGCGCAGATAGGTCCACCCTCCACGGTATAGCGTAGTGAACATATGATCCAGTGCCAATCACATATTTTATAATCTATTAGTCATACATAAACTGACCACATGGCGAGGGATGTCTGTATTTAAAATACCTATCCATTCTATTAAATGTTCAAGTTCTACAATAAAATAATTACCACATACCTTTTTGGGTCGATTTTTGTGTCTACCTCTATTGTCTCTTGGAAAAAGAATATTTTGCTCATGCTTGATGCAAAGTGTTCTTATCTTTTTATCAGAGATCCCATGGATATTGGCAAAAGCCTTCTTGCATACCTGAAACAATGGTGATTATTAGGACGATAATATTAAATCCATAAAAAAGAGAATATATAAAGAAATAAGAACATTATAAAACAATTTGCCTATATCTATACAACTACATCAATCAGTCTGTATATGTATATATGTATGTATGTATGTATGTATGTATGTATGTATGCATGTATGTATCTACTTATGTATGTATGTGTATGTGTGCGTTTGTGTGCGTGTGTATTTGTTTGTTTGTTGTGCTTGTTTGTGTGTTTGTGCGTGCGCATGTGTGTGTTTGTGCGTGTGCATGTGCATGTGTGTGTACGTGTATGTGTGCGTGTGCGTGTGCGTGGTATGTATATGTATGTGTGTGTGCTTGTGTATGTGCTTGTGTATTTGTATGTGTATGTGTATGTGTACATGTATATATCTATCTGTCTATATATATATAAATACACACATATATATGTACACACATACATACATATATATAATATATAATATAATTTGAATAAATCAAGTAAAATCCTGATTTACCTGAAGTTCCTTTCCTTTAATTCGTACATAATATTTATATGAGCAAGTTCTTCTCTCCGAAACAGGTTTACGTTTCCTCTGAATATCATGTCTACGTATAAGTCCATATAGGTAAGCATTCTGCTCATCATAGCTGAAAAAGAACAAGAATTGTTTCATTGTTTTAAACAGACTACTGTGTTCACATCTGGAAAACAATGTGCAAAATCTATGCCAATTATCCTAAAAATATTTCTGTGAAAACACTCTAAATGTAAGTCGTTCTTTCTACACACCCTTTTCCCAACTTACAAATACCCCATGAATTTACTTCACTGCTGCCCAAAACAAATTAAGCATAAGTTCTATGCCCAAATGACATAGTCATCGTAATAATAAAGGGACATAATTTCTTATGTACAATATGTTTTAATACGTTATTGAATGAGAATTAAATACTATTTCTTTAACTAAGATGCTTAACTTATCAGCTGTGGATTAATGTAGTGTTCACTACATCTATTTTTTGTGAATTCTATTGCACACAGATGACTCTACAAGTGCTCAGCCACCTAGGACTCAATTACATGGCCCAAATGACTGCACCTAATGTCCCCATTCCTTGGATCTTCAGGATTTCTTTTTCTGATGCTATTTATTGTCACTTTATTATTATCATGATTATTATAATATTACCAGAATACTGATTTAAAAAAATGTTGAAGATAATGACATACTTTACAAGTATTGATATATACCACTTTTCTTGTCAATGAAATAACAACATTTTGCATCTATAACAGAAAGTCCAATATGCAACTTATTGCTTAAAAACTTTATACTCTTCCCCAGGCAATTAATTCATATTTCAAACAGTATCATTCCAACAATCACTTCTACAATACAACCATCTTATGAAAAAGAAGAATTGGTAGCTGAGTTTCAAGCATCACAGATCTTTTTCCTCATTATTAACTAAGGAAGTTCTCTCAAAAGTGATTAAAGGATTTATGTAATTTTACACACCTCACTTTTTCTATTTTTGACTGAGAGATTCCTAGACTTCTAAGGAAGTATATGTCAAATCTTTGGAATACATCCACTTTCCCAAAAATTGGCAAAATAGAGGTCTTGATGCCAATGGACTGCTAAGGATGTACATTATGTATCTGAAGCTAGGAGTTTCATTATATATGTGATAACTAGCTACAGAAAACTTTGTCATATATATCTATGTGATTACAGTAGCTTTTAAGTCAGGACTATTTTCTAGTAGCCAATTTCTTGGTTGTATTCAATCCTAATCTACTTCAAACTTGTGATCTGTGATATACGGGCTACAATTCTGAATCTAACCCAAAAGTGGCATGGTGTCAAGTGATTACCACAGCTTCCTCATTTAGTGCTAGGAGCCAACAAACCTCTACCAAGTATTTCTGGCAAGATAAACCTTGGACTGGGGTCAATTTTTGTTATTACAGAGGGTATACCAATTGCAATTATCATGTTGGATATTGATAAAATACATTTATCTCATAATCTTCTCTATAAACGTTTGACACAAATGTATACTAATGACACTATCTACTTTTTCAAATCTCCTGTCACCACATGGTTATTTCTGACTGTTATTATTTCTATGGTCATGCAAGAAGGGGGGGGGGGGGTGATGATAGAATGTGGGCTCGTGTCTTACTGATAAAGTAAGCAACATTTTTTAATAAAAGATGCCTAGACATACCTAATCTAAACTAACCTAGCCTAACTTAGCCAAACCTATGCTAACCACACCACTCCACCCCATCTGTGTTCCCTAACCATATCAACACCCACCTAAAGAACAAAGTCCAGGAAGGACGCTATTTCCAAGCTCAGGATCCTATTACTGCCCACCATGACTAGAGCATAGGTGGTATTACAAAAAATTGAATATTAAAAAAATAAAATTATACAAATAGCAATGACAGCTATCATTATTACTATCAAAGCACTGGGCAAATATTCAGAATATCTTTGCATAACTGATCTTGACTATTTTGGTATTGATGGATTATTCTTACTGTCTACTACCTAAATATATCAAACTTATCCTGCAGAACCCCCGAACTGAAAGGTACCCGGGAAATTACAGAGTAAAATATGAATAGAATACAGTAAATGCATAACTACAGTAATATACAATGAATAAGTCATAGCATGGAGTAATACAGGGGGCCGTGCTTCCAATCCCTACCCCAGAAGACAAAGAATCAACCATGTGTGTATGGCAGGATGGAGCATGAGAGAACCCCATGGTTCCATCCCCCTGCCTGCTGAGGACCCTTAGCAGCTTCTATCAGTCAGGTTAGTAACTAATAATTCCTAGGCTATATATTGCCACCTTCACCCCACACGTAAATCATACGTTCAATCCTGACATGAATACATAGAGGGTTCTTTGTTGTACTGGGTGGGGACTGGTAGCTCCCTAAGGGGGGTTGCAGGGGGCACAGCCCCCTACATTCAACAGTATAGAGAGCTATTACCTATACTGTGTTCTTATATCACTGTTATTTTTCTTATATTATTGTTACTTCCATGGTACCTTTCATGTCCTCCCTGCTATCGAGCCCAAGAATGTGGAGATTGGGTAAGAGGTTATGTGGTGTAAATTTGATATATTTGGATAGTAGAGAATGAGGGGAATCCACTGATAGCAAAACCAAAGACTACCTAGAAAGATGATATATATCATTATCTGGATACGGCATATAAAATGACAAATATAGAATTTGAAATTAGCAAAAGAGCAAAAAATGCTTATGCAGAAAAATTAAAACTGTCATCGCAAAAGGAGGCAAGAACTCTTGATACCACACGAGTGTTCATGTGCACCTGGCCTACAAAGGAGACACTCATGACAGAGGCCACTCAAGTAAGCCTAATGGCTGACCTAGACTGGTTCTTCAAATAAACTAATAAACTTCCATCACATCCTATACTGACAACTGTAAGTGGAGAGTGTAATTTATAAGTAATCAATTGTGTTTATTCTGACAACATCAGTAATGCATCCTAATATATTGCCTATTCCAAACTTGACATAAGCCATCTATAAACCAACATTCTGTCATAACTACCACTGA